CCTCGGCACCGGAGTCTGCGCGTAACTTCCTCTGTGTGGTGCCACAGTCGCCGCAGCTCAAAATGGTCAGCTTCACGGCAACAGACGCAACGTCGGCGCTGCCGCTGCGGGTCATCTGTCCACGAAGCTCAAAGGCTCGCCGACGTCTCTGGCGGCACTCCTCATGTTCGATACAAATGCTCAAATGCATCTCGAGCACCACTCCTTCCCGTCCTTGCCACGCACAGTCCAGGGAGTAGCCAACTGCCCGTGTCCTCTCGCTGCATCCAAGTTCTGCAGCACTTCTTGAAAGCTTGATCCCGAATGTCATCCGGCAAGCCGGCCTGCTTTTTCGGAAGCACATCGACCTGGAACCGCAAGTCGTTTCAATGTGGCTTGTACGTCTTCCGCAGATGCTTGGGCTGCTTGGCCGCATCCTCTTCGGCAGGCGCGGGTTCGGCCATGACAACTCAAAGAGCCGAGTGAAGCATGTTGAGCTGCTTTCTTAACATAACTGCATTGAAGGTCTACTTTGCTTCGTCTCTTCAGCTTGAACTCATGACTGCTTGACGGCTTGAGCCTCTATGGCCGGCAACCAGTGGCCACCGCAAAATCCCCGCACAAACCGCTTTCCTTTATGCTTCCAGTCAAGTTACCCTACGTGAGTTCATGACTGCTTTCCGGCTTGAAATCCCAGAGACGACAACCACGGGCCACCGCAAGATCTCTGCAAAAACCGCGCTTCTATGTGCTTCCAGTCAAGCCAGCCTGCGTAACGTGCAGGCTGCGGGCCTCGTCGTCGGTCAGGCAAACACGGATGACTTCGGTGTGTGGACCTTCGGCCTCGAAGGCAACAGCTTGAAACATCAGAAAGACGCCGATATGAGGCCGTTGGGTTTCGCAGGGGCTTCCTGGCAAAATACCGTTACCTACAGCCACCTGGCACTCAAATGAAGAAGCCATGGGACTTGGTTGCTGTGTAAGTGAGTCAGAAAGACCCCAGCAGCCCCGCAGGTTCCGGCTCTGGGGAGCTACTAACTGAAAAACGGAGCGGGGGAGTTACTAAACCTATGCCGCCCGCTGCACTATCCGTCATAGCTGCTCGAGCCACTAGGTGGCAGCGTTACTATACTGATCCGGCGCTGTTACTGCCGATTCCGCGCTGTTACTGAGAAGGCTTTTCAAAAAGCCGTTTTTGACCAGCAGCGAGGCCCACTTTTCCACGCCAATGTGTCCAAAACCCAGGTACCGTATTACCACCCCCCCCCTGCCGCCGAGTGCAACTTTGTCGGTGGGGACGGACGGTGTTTTCGACCTCCGAAAAGTAGTAGTGGTGGTAGTAGTAGTAGTAGTAGTAGTATTAGTAGTAGTAGTAGTAGTAGTAGTAGTAGTAGTGGTAGTGGTAGTGGTAGTGGTAGTAGTAGTAGTAGTAGTAGGAGTAGTAGTAGTAATCAGTAGTAGTAGTAGTAGTAGTAGGAGGAGGAGGAGGAGGAGGAGGAGGAGGAGGGAGGAGGAGGAGGAGGAGTAGTAGGAGTAGCAGTAGGCTAGGCGTAGGCGTGGACGTAGGAGTAGGAGGAGTAGGAGTAGGCAAAGGAGTACGTATATAGGAGTGTAGGAGTAGCAGCAGCAGCAGCAGCAGATGAAATCGAACTCTCAGAACAGCTGGCCCACCCTGGCTGCGCTCAAAAGTCCCGCCTGCAAAATCTAAACCAAATTCGAACCACGCAACTCATCGCAACTCTACCCCCGTGTGGTTCCCAGCGACTAATGGGAGTGGGAGTTACAAATCACAAAGGACACAAGTGTGCGAACTGCTCAAAAAGCGGCGAAGCCAGGAAGCCCCTCCAAGGCGGGGCTTGACTCGTTGAGGATCCTCGCGGCGGCGGACTATGACGCTGGCATGCATCGGCATTCATTGCAATTTTCAGGATGCCCCCAAATTGAATGCTTCCGGTTGTTCTGCACATGTTCAGGAAGCATGCCGGAAACTCACGACTGAATCATATGCATCAGACCGATGAACTCGCCCTACCTGCCATCCGCACCACTTCAAGACTGCATTTCATCAAGCCCGAAACCCCGAACTCCACACACAAAATCATGGACCCTGGGAACGTCGTCTTTGTGGCCGCAGGATTACAACCCTCATCCTCATGCTTTTAGAGTTTGCTGCTCAACTTCAGAGTTGAATTCCAAGATTGGAACCTTGCTGGTTTAACTGGATGGTCTGCTGCAGCCAAACATTCAGGCTCATTCAGGCACACACTTACGAATTGCTAAACACATCCGGCATCCGTCCATCCACAACTACATGCAGAGAGCTCTGCGGGTGGCACACGGGATGCTAAGATTGTTCAATCGACGCCCGTCCGCTCCCGAAATCTGAGCTGGCTGCCCTTTGTTGACCGCGAAGTCCGCTAGTGGGTAGAAAGGGAGGGCATCGCTTGACCTTTGCAGCCGAAGCTAATCCGAAATAGATGTTGCTTATTTGCTGAAACATACTGTTGCTTGCATCGTCTCCCTCTCGATCCCTCCTTCCACTGGACGTTGGACCAGGTCCAACTTGTGGCAGGGGTTAGGCCAAGCGAATGCGAGAATGAGCGGCTTCTTGGGAAAGGATGTCCACAGATTTGCCATGGATACAGTAGTCTTTTAGTCAGTTGCGAAGAGGCCTCTGCAACGATGCCGTGCTCACCGCATTATGCTGAGGCCGGCACTTCGCAGCGAGCCCCTGCAGTGGCCAAGGTGTGGCCTGGACATCGAATGGGAGCTTGGCGATGAAGCCTCCGGTTTACAGCTTCTTTCATCTACTTCGCCAGCGGTAGTATGGGCCACGTGAGGCAATCCAAAACTTCATGGGCTATGAACAGCTCCTCGCACTCCCTCTGAAACCAGAGTCGAAAAATCCTGCAGCTGCAAGAGGCCTCCTCTGACTCCTTGGCGTACTTCTGCGGAGCTGGCGCCTCCAGGAGCCGGTCGACCTCCTCCTCCTGCTCCGCCTGAACCAGCGCTCAGGGTGCTGAGGGCCAGGGCCCCAGAGTTTTGAAACTCCAGGCGAAAGTAATTCGGAGTGGGTGATTCAGGATCGTAACTTCTCTGTGCGGCTAGCCTTGAAACGGTCAAAACTGGCCAAGCAGCCACCGTGTTCCTTCAGGTCTTCGGAGTTTGGACTGATACTCGGATGTGCCAGGCCAGATTCAGCCGTCAGTGTTCGGCTTAGGTCTGAGGTATCAGTATAACAGTATAACTACACACAGCACCAACGGCTTCTTCGGATATCAGCAGCCGAAGCGAAGGCACCAAAAGCCTCTTTGTTGTGTTGGAGCCGGGGTGGAACTACACGATCTGGTGTTGAGCAACTCCACAAGACAAAGACTTCCATTGGCAATCCATCAGCTGCCGAGGCAGACGAAGACCACGGGCGCGGCCGTCTGGCGCCAGCCCCAAGGCTGGGCCAGACCACTGAGTTTGAGCCAGGGTGTATGGGACTGCCCATCCCATGCGCTCGTTTTGCCGGGCACCTCAGGCCGCTGTTTGAGGGAACTGAAGCCTTGGGACTTTTCCTTGTTTTGCTGCCGGTGAAGACCTGATCTGTGTTACACATTGAGGGCCACTGCGCTTTCATTTTGCCAGCGCGCGTCTTAACTACCAACCCTTGTGGTACGGTGCAGGTTGACGTTGACTACATACATACATACATACATACATACATACATACATACAGCTGCCGAGGCCCCGCGGCTGATACAGTCTGCAGATGTTGTTCTGTCTGTCCGGAGCCCCCCCTCCCACTGGCCTCTTGCTCGTGGTCCTGACAATTGCAAGGCCGGGAGAGCGAGTGCAAGTCAGATAGGTGTGCATGTGGACTCGGCAGTTGAAACCTCAGAAGCAAACCGGGTGGCTAGGTCGACGGCTTAATCATGACTCGGGTGCATTGGATCCGTTACGTTGCAGACTACAGAATCTCCTCCTCCACTTCTTCTTCATGCTCTTGCTCCTGTTCTTGTACTTGTTCCTGGGCAACCGCTCTTGGCAAGGGCGAACCTTCTGTTGGCCATACCGTGTTTGACATCTCGTGCCTAAGCTCCAGTGCCAGTGCGTCTAGCTCAGTGCATAGTTATGCGAGCAAACAGATGCTACCAATGCCTGCTGAAGAACAAGCCGGAACAAAGCCGTGTCGGTCCCAATTCAATTAAACTGAGCATTCTGACATCCAGTAGTCCGGGCAAACAAAAGGCACCCTAGTGCTGAATGCTCGCAAACCAGAGAACAGACTGCATGCACGCAGCCAGGGCCCCCACCCGGCTGAGGACATGGTCTGCATCCTCCTTCACACCCGGACAAAGGCCAGGACACAGGTCGGCGGCTCTTTTGCCGTCTACTTGCAGGTGTTCTATGGGCCAAGCGCATGCCAGTGTTGACAAAGGGTGCAACTTCACCCCGTGATTTTGGGTCGGCAATCTACCTACTAATCCCGTTGCCAGTACGCACAGCAGAGAGCTTGAAGCTTGAACCTATCCACCGTAACGATCGGAAGTCGAAGATGTTTTTCTTAAAGATGGATGTATGATGTACGAAAACGTAGTGGAAGAGACGTGCAAAAAGGAGATCAGGTCCTTCAACGGCGCCTGGGACTCATCGAACCTTGGGTCATGCTGTGCACAACAGACACGAGAAGCCATCCAGGCGAATTCCGACTTCGTCCAAAGATGTGTGTCAGCAAATTTAAACAGGTTCGCACAGAAGGCTTTACAGCTGGACTTGGGGACAGAGCTGATGCTCTTTGTTCCTCGTGGCGTTGATCCAATTGGCAGCTTGAGAGGTCTTTCTACTATGGTGGGGCGCATCTTCTAGTGCACATTACCACGCTGAGGCTCGAACCTTCGGGTTGCTTCCATGACGTCGCACCCCCATTTCTTATGAAAGCTCCCAGACTCCCAGGCAGAGCATCTGCTTCCAGGCGCTCTTTTCTCCACCGCTGTCCGGACTAACGACACAGATCCGGTAAAGACTCATGGCCCTCAGAAGCTTTCTCGCCGAACGGTCATGCTCTTTGGTGGCCCTTCAGGGGAATGTGTCCTGCAGGCAGCTCCGACAAGCCTTGTGGAGTTCGGTTTATCGGGGTGGACCCGGACCCGTTGCAGATACCGAGCTGGAGATGCTTGGGCTGCTTGGACTTATTACAGCGTGTGTTCACTCCCAGAAGCGTCTGGCTAGAGATGTGTTCGTTCGGCGTGACTCAATGCTTCCGAATCCCACCAAGTGGTTAGCAACATGACGACCCGACGCGAACACAACACCGAACACAAGAGCTGGCCCTTTGGTTTGTCTGGCAAACAATCCGTTGGGCCCCCTTTGGGATCAGTACCGACTAGACTAATTAGTAGTCCCTCCACTCCAAACATGCCTCCGCATTTCGAGCTCGCGCTGTCTTCGCGCCTGCTCTTCCTTGGTGGTGAAAGTGGCACCGCAGCGATTTGTCTACTTAGATCCTTGACTCCAAATCGCGGATCCTCAATGTCAACCACGACTGTTTGATGGCCGGGGAACGGCCACGTATCGGTCCCGGCGGACATACCATCTCGACAAGCCCTGTGCCTGGTGGGCTTTGTAGGTTTGTATGCCTGAGGTTGGAGCCCGAACTGAGATTTGGACTTGCGAGGACATGGATTTCCCGGCAGTTTGGGTGTGCATCAAACATCCATCATTGAAGCGCAAGACAACCAGGGCTGTTGGCCTACGTGAAGCCCAAACGAACGGAGGTTCAGCACGAGTTTGGGCACCACGATGGCTAGCGACTACAGGAGTGAGAGGAGCAAATGAAGGGATCTCTTGAATCCTCCGGTTCGGACAACCTACCTACCACCTCTCTCATGGCTTGGCAATTCGACAGCCTTACCCGAAGAGCCTGTAGACTCTGTATAGACCCGCTCTCGAAGAAGGACTCGTGGTTGGAAGCGACCATGGCATGGAGCGCACGGATCTCATCAATCTGCCTCGGAAAGAATTCGGCTCAGCCAATCTCATGCCATGGGTTCGGTTCACACCTTTCTAGCTCGGACAGAGAATCAAAAGAAGAATATGACATGGTAGACACATGCCGACATCCTTAGTTCATGTAACTGACACACTACAACACATTCCCCGGCTCACACATGGCTGATTCTCTACACGTTCGGTTCCATCGCGCGGACTCATAATACATGGTCGCGGAACCAAACTGGAAACACTGAACCGAACCGCTCCCGAACCCAACCGCTGGAATCACTGCACCGAACGTCAATGAACCGCACTGAAACCGGCAGTCGAACCGGAACCGTGGGCAATGTGTAGGTCTTCATTTTTTGGGGTTTGGGGTTTGGCTTCGGGTTGATCCCTGGCGAGGGGCCTGCCACCGAAACCCCTTCAATTTAAACACCAAACCCCGAATCCGAAACACTCTCCAAATCCCCCCCAAGACCTCGTAAACTTGAAACAGCCCTCCAAACCCCCAAAAATTCTTCAACACCCGACAATAAATACCAAAAGCCTATTAACAACATGACATTAACCCTACACACCCACTAAAGTTTGAATCAAACCCTAACCCTTAACCCCCTGAAACATAAACCCCTTTAGCCGCCCAGACCCTGAAGGTTCAACCCTGAAACCGCCTAAATGCCTTGAACACCAAACCCAAACCCCGACACCCAAACCCATAACAGCAATCTCACTGCCCTGCCATTCCAGTCACCTACCTTCCAGCCACCTCCAGCCGCCTGCTTCTCTGTTTGATCTACTGCAGCTAGCCCTTGAAATCACCTTCCACAGCCCTCAACTCTCACCGCTGCGCTTGCGTACTCCCGATCATTCCCATGTTCTGCCCATCCCGCTAATTCATCTTCTTCCGTCTGCACATACCAGGCAGCCCGGGCACGTGGACGGGAACATGGTGTGCCGCCGCAACCCGGCAGTTTGACACGTCACCCCACATGCCACAGGCGTTTGCCTGCAAGGGTTTGGAAGGCAGTCAGGCAAACAAATTGCGCGGCGGAGAAAATTGGCACTGGTACCCCGACAGGCTCATGAGAAAATCCCAAAGCCAAGAGGAAACGTCAGAAAGTCACCCAGCACATTTTGGCACCATAGGCTCTATGCCTCTATGCCTCATGACTTTTTGCCAAGAATGTTAAACTCGTAAATGGGACCAATGCGAACAGAACTCTAAAATGTGAAGAAGGACTACTATGAAGGAAAATACATCAAGAAATCATCGAAGCAAATACATACACAAATGCATAGCAACATGCGTGTGTGTATATACATATGTGTATATCTAGGTATGTATGTATGTATGTATGTATGTATGTATATATATATATACATATGTATATATATATATATATACATATATAGACATAGAACTATTCTCTTCATCCCGAACCAGAAACCACGAAGCCCATGCCCATTCCTAGAAGGCCAATCGGAAGCCCTCACTAGATGCATGGTCCGGCCTCCTTCATGGATTCCCTCATGTAGGACTCTTTCCCCTGTCCAACCATCCTCGGTTTAGGCTATGCAAAGCGACCAAGGTTCTTCCGTCCTTGGACCCCTTGAGCATCGCCCCTGTGCTGCCGACATTCCGCAGCGTGTTGGATTGAAAAATATCTCGCGTGACTAGAGAATTCTCTGTCACAATAAGAGAAGCTGTCCACTTGACTTCCTTTTCTTGTTGTACAGGGGCTGACTCCCCAACTCCCAGCTCCGCACGAAAGTGCCGCTAGTGACTCTAGTGACATCGAACCTTTGAATTCTCCAACTTACTCAATTTCCGCTATGCAGTAGTTGGGGGTAACACCACCAACCATCACGCCGTCAGGATGCTTTTCCAATGCACCACGGCTAAAGATCTGACCTCCACCTGAGGATGGCGAGCGGCTTCGCAAGAGCAAAACCCACAATCCGAAGGTTTGCCCATCGGTATCGAACATCCATCCGCTCATGGCAAGTAGATCTACGAGATACTGTATAATGACTAGTATGGAATAAGCAGAGAATACTGCGATGTGAAATGCCGTTTTAAATCTAGCGATGTAGCTGCAATGTACAGCATGTAATCTTGCGGAAATTAACAACTTCCGACAATCAACCGACAATCAGGTACTATCAGTCACCAACAGACCTGGCACTACGATGTGATGGCGATGGTGGTATGCAAGCTTATAGAGTGAGGGTTTTAAAACGTAGTGTTGATACATACAGGCAATATGTTCTGCGATCCGGCATGGCCCTGTTTGACATCCTGAGGCCTCGCAACGTCTACTGAGTCTACTGTTATCAGCCCAAAGGAACTCATGACGTGACATCTACGCTTTGCCAGTATGTACACTCTGCTGCAACGCAGTGGTGCGTGCCGGTCTTCGTAGCTCACGCCATTGAATTCTGTTTGAGTTAGATTATGCTACAAGTAGATGTGCTGTCGTTCCTATGCTTTCGACAAGACTTGTCCTTGACGGCATCTCAGTTGTTGGGCCTCCACAAAGGCCACCAGCCTTGCACTTCCCACAACCACGAATACCAAGGACCTGCAGCTGAGGGCAAACACCACGTGAAGTTTCTGCAGATTAGACTCTCACAACTCGGACGATCCAGGCGAGGTTCATAGACAGCGGTCGGCGTGAAAACGAAGTACCCTCCCCCACCGAAGCCCACTGCTCGAACTCGTAACACTTGAACCTAACAAGTGGTTTGACAGCATTTAAGAGCCCACCTCTGCAGTGGAAGGGCTCCTGGAAGCTAGCGCCGCCTTTGACATGTCGTGTCGCTGCTTGCTTGTGGACATGTCCCATGCCGTGTGGCACGGAACTTATTCATGAGAACTGGCTAGTCTCGTATGAAGTTGATGCCGCTTTTCAATTGGACGAAAACCTGCGGCCAGTTTGACCCACAGCCCCAAGATGCGAAGACCGATCGTGGCTTGGCAGCTAAGCACACCCTCCATCGCCTTAATGTTCTTGGCCATGGCATAGTTGTCCTGACATCATCGAACATCGAGATGCGCAGACTCGTTGGAAAGATCCGCTCTCAAGAACCCCTCTATATCATTCTGTCACACCGCTTTTGGACTTCCTGATTTCCACTCTGGTCTTCAGTATCACCTTCCCCGCCGTCAAGGATGCCAGGTTCCCTGCAACTCAAGACTTTCATTCACCGCCAAGCATCCGAACCCAGAAGCACCACCTGGCCGCAAGCAGAACAACAGCACCTGCCTGACAACGCCTTTCGCAACCAAATCGGGCTCCGCTGTGTCAGCTGGTACTTCATGAAAAATGCATCACGTGCATCCGTCCACGTTTCGCTCTGTGTGTACTTAACACCAAGCAATCCCCCGTCTCCCCGAGCCCCCAATCCCCACAGATGTGGACATATCACATACTGCCAATTCTGCACAGTGCATTGGCAATTAAATGTCAGCTTGCACGCCTCCGTGCGCAGACGCTGACGGTTATTCGCAGTGGGGTGCGAATGTATGCATATCGACGAAGTATGTGTGGACTCGGGCACGTGCAGGCAGAAGAAGGCTGCATGGGAATGCATCGTGCAAGATTTTCCGTACATTATGCGGACACATAGCCTTGTGCCTATGCTTTTTTTGGACATGCGATATGGTTCGGCTTCGTGTATACATATACATTTGCAAACACACACACACATACCTACATACCTACATCTACATACCTACATACCTACATATCTACATACCTACCTACGTACCTACTTACATACCTACCTACCTACCTACCTGCCTACCTACCTACTTACCTACCTACACACGTGCGTGCATACATACATACATACATACATACATACATACATACATTACATACATACGCACATACCTGCATGTGAGGGTGTGGGTATGTGGCCCTGTGTGTGTGTGTGCGCTGTATGTGGACAGGTACTGTATAGATCTAAATTACCAGGCGCATAAACTAACAAATAGCACACACAGAAGCAAAGCGCGGGTGTGGAGAGGGCAGTCACAGCGAGAGAAGCAACAACACAGTTTTGGCTCCCGCATTGCACATCCACGACGACTCCACTAGGCAGGTCACACATGAGCTGCGACACCGTTAGATGTCGTGTGCATATATGTACAAATGTTTATGTATAGACAGAAAGTCCATGCAGGAGGACGAAAAAAATTGATTGCCCAATGCGTGTAACAACTCCACGCTTGCTCGAAGAACGAGACTTAGCATTGTCGCCTACTCCGGTACTTCCAGACAGCTGATAACGAAATTTCAACAGTGTGGAATTGGGGGCATGCTTACCTGGTGAAGTGCGTGCCTCGAGTGTATGGAAGAAGTGTATGCGTGCCTTCGGAGCACACCACATATATGTACACGACGCATGTAGATGCACCCGCCTAATTCTCGATTCAACATGGGCATGTCGATGAAGAATCTTCTAAGAAGACAAGCCGCCCAGTCGAAACCACTTTGCCATGCATTCGACAATGCTGTGAAATCCTGCGCTTGGGTGCTCGTGTGCAGGAGATCAATCCGACTGGCGCACTCCCACTACCTGCGACTGTGACTGTAGCCTTGCGAGGGATGAAAGAGTCTCAAGTCTGATACAAGCCACGGGGTTGCCGTACCTACACCTGCCTTTGCTGGCCACCCTAAAGCCTGCAAAGCTATAAATGCCACCATGCCATGCATCACATCCACATTCAGCCCACATCAAGAAATTCCTCCAAAACCCTGAAGTCGAGGAAGGTGGCTGAGATGCCGGGCCTTGCACGCACCCCCTGAATGCGTATCGGGACAGTCGGACTTGTCCCAAAGCCTGGAACTGACGCACAGTGCATTCAAGCTTGGAGCTGAAAACTGGCACTCTCAGCTCTTACAGTCCAAACGTGCCGAAGCTTTAGCTCTCAGCGATGTCCACTGCCCGACGCGGCACATGCCCTGCATCTCCCAATGCTTCGGCTGGCTCATGCCGATCACCTGCATGCGTCAGGAAGAAAACAAGCCCGGCCCAGCGACCGTGTGCTCACTCTTAACACAGGCATGCCCTACGATCCGGTGCATATCTGCCGCCTTGCTGGAGAGGGCAAGGCTAAGTCAAGTGTGAAGGATCCAGGACCTCCCTGTGAGATCCCACTGAAAGTAAAATCCTGTGCCTGACCAAGTATACACCTAGTTACGTAGATCTAGGATGGTCGTGGCGTTACGTGCCTGTGGAAGCAAAAGCAATTTGAGCCGAACAGAAACCTAAGGTAGGTCCAATAAGCTGTAGGTGAACAGGAGGCTGGAGAAGCCTGTAGCTGCCCGGGAGGCACAGCGGAGGCCCAGGTCTCCGCAGCAGCGCGGATCGCCGCGACGTTGTGCCTGGGCAAACAGCCTGTCTGGTCACTTCGTGTCACTTGGCTTATCGGCTTATAAGCACGGCGATGCGCAGCGCCTTGCAATCTGCCAGCTCGCAGAACAACAGCGAAATGCAGCCGGTGCAAGGCTGTGGGAACACAAGACTTTGGTAGCACCACGGGCTGCGGATTACGACAATTCGAGTGCAGACTTTGAGGCGAAATGATGGCAGTCGCCTGTCAATTTTTTCAGGTTCCGAGAACGTGTGGGGGGTCAATTAAGAGCAGCCTGTCGATCAAAGGGCAGAAAGGGCTCCATCACCTACGAACCTATCAGATCTGGAGGGGTGACAACGCGACGAGCAATTGGCCAGGGCTACAAGTCATGTTTGACGACGGGTGAGTCTGGGAGAGAATGCAGCATAAGGGTAAAGGCATCACCGCGCTACTTGTGGTTCGTGTTTGGAGCCTGAAACCGGAGACGAGATGCGCTGCCGTCTGAATGCTGAAGAGGACGCGGACGTCAGGTCCGCCAGAGAGGAATTCCGCTGTAGACTCTACCTCGTTGCCGCCTTGACTGACCTCGTCCTGGCCCGGAGGGAGCTGTGTAAGCATCGGTCTGAGGATCGCAGCATGCGCCTACGATTGCTGTGCTGTAGAAGCCAGACGAAGAACAGTGCGATCATCGAGCATACAACCATGAGAGCGACGTGAGCATTCCCATCGTTCAATCCACACCATGCTTTCAACAGGATCAGGTCATGCCCAGAACTCGAATGCCAACCGAGTAATTCTTGCCTGGCCTCATCGTCAGCCTGATCAACATCATCCTGCACGGCCATTTCCAAGCTCTCTGAAAACTTGTCGAAAATCCATGTTTGAGGAGACCTGCCTGCTGTCTCCTGTGCTCTGTGATAGCCGCCCATGTGAAAGGCAGTGCTAGCAGAAGCACGTGGCCCCGGCAAAACAACCTCAGCTATGAGGGAGAGGGAAGGACAGAAGGATCCACAGAGAGGGACCGGGGGTCCGGAGTTCGTCGTTGGCTGTTCTTGCAGTGCTTCGCCTGGAAACTTGAACTCCCAGTGTCGAACGTAGAACAATGGACTGGACCACAAGACCTTCATCTGGAATCATGCCCCGAAGATGGCAGGGCTTTTGCATTTACCCGCACCAAAAAAATACTACGAGTAGAAGGTGTGCTGCGAGAGTTGGCTCTTGATGGCTTTTGTCTGCGGAACAAGTTAAGTCATGCGCTGGAGACGGAAACCGAGGTACAGCAATCCGATATGCAAAGTGTGGTCAATGACCCTCGTGCTACAAACACGACATTCCACGGTCCCCAACAGGCTCGTAGTTATGTCAGCCATCAGATTGGATTTATCAGCAATCAACATACCACGTAACACAGGCCCTGCCTCAACGAGCCGACAACCACCGGGAAATCTTGTGCGAAGCTGCCAAGGAACATGGAATCACCCGAAATTTGGGTGAGGAGGCGCCTGGACTTAGACTTTCCGCACCTGCAGCGCAGGAGCTTGGCAGAAGAAATCGGGAGCCTAAGCCAGGATTATTGCTCCGAAAGGCATCACAATATTCGGACCTATTTGTTGAACCAGCACTTGTCGTCATGCCTTTGGCCTACTCTGAACGCAGATACTCTGGCCAGGCAGGTTCTGTCACGAGCCATCCCTGGTGTTACGTTCGCTTCTCGCGGAAAGCAGCGAGTTTGTACATGTGTGACATCATGTGTGCCCTAAGCCCACAGACAGCATTACCTTTGATATAGGGTTGGACACCGCAGTCGCCATGGGCTGATTGCATTCCAAGGCTCGAACTCCCCTTCTGGGGTGATTGATGGGAAACTGTTCGAGCCGATCCGGCCAGGGAAACAACACTCGAACTTGCAAGTGATCATATCCCTCTCTCACGTGTACGCTACCGACTGGCACTCTTTATGGATCGAAGTGCACCATTCGAGTCTGCGCGGGACTTGTGACTATTGACTATTGCTCACATATATAACTAGATATGGGCGGGGTAATGCAATTCTCGGGCCCCTCGTAGGAACCTACGACCCTGAGAGACTGCTGCACATCCTCTGGAGCAGGCATAAGTCAATGGGGCAACAAAAATGACATGCTTGTTCCGTGCCCTTCTGTTTTTGGTGTGCCTTTCTGCCTGCAGCGACTGCGGCTGGCACTGCTATCAATGCCACAATATATTTAGTGGTGCAGAGGAGCATTATCTAATGCACACTCTTGGACATGCTGAGCTGTGGTGGGAAAGTGTCTCACTACCGCTTTGGCGCTCCAAAATCCCAACCGACTGAGACACAACGTGCAGCCGGCTACAGGCGCTCGACCCCTTGAGATCGCGACTGCCTGAGAATCTGCTGAGCCTCCTCCCGTGCCTGTCAACTGGAGACATCTGTGATGCTAAGGCATCTGAAGGCGCTGTGCCCAAAATTTGAAGGATTCCTTGCCTCAACTCAGAAAAAAACACTGGACATGAGCGTGTACTGAAAGCACAGGCAGTGAAGAGCCGGTGTGTGATCCGTGTACTGCATATTTAGCTGGTTAGTCGCCATGGTGCGCTTCGGTGACCTCGTTGCAAGACTCCAAGCCCATGCAAAATCGTCACTACAGAACCGCGCGGACTACGCCTTCTCACTGCTACATGAGGAGCCAAGGCTCTGTTTATTAATCTCACAGCCAACTGGCAACTGAGAAACCTTCTGGCGCAATGGACACCTGTAGAAGTTTGACCACTAACCAAATCTCTCCGAACAGCATTCGCTGCCTGGTCTCGCGCGGCCTCCGAGCTCCATACCTCGCACTTTGAGGCTTGACTGCTTCTGGCCGTGCGGCGTACTTGTTGACAACCAGCCGCTTAAGACTCACGGTGCCTGATGGGTGGGACTATTGAGTTTTCCAGTGGCACAGCGGACCCTGCTGCAGGTACAAGGACGCTATCTGAACAGATCCAGAAAGACCAGAACTCCTCCAGGTTTGAGCATCAGTGGCGACGACAAGACTTCTAACAAAGGTCGTCGTGTTCACCATTCCTAGTCTGCCACTAAAGTTCTGAGGAACATAAATGTCTTGCATGACGACGCAACTCGCCCTGGTCCTAGGCTGAGCTCTGCGAGTACAAAACCGAAACGCAGAGCTGAAGACCTCTCGCGTAAGTCAATTCAATACAAGCACTTGGCAAGGCACACATTCGCCCAGCGGGCCCTTGCCGACCTCATTGCCATTCACATGAGGGTTATCTTTGTTCTGCGCGATTTCAGTGCATATACAGTGAAACGAACAAGGATAAGCACATGTGTTGCGTATACATGTGCTTTTGGTTGTGTGTACATATACATACATACATACATACATACATGCATGCATGCATGCAGACAGACAGACAGACATACGTACGTACAGACAGACAGACAGACAGACAGGCAGACATAAATACATATATTAATATATTCACAATCACATGTGTCTGCGTGATTCTTGCTGCTGCTTAGCATGAAGGCATGTGGGTGTGGGAGTGTCTCGGCGAGGCTTCGGGCACGGGGGCGTCTTCTTGTGCCAAGTCAATGCTTGAAGAAGTTGGATCTGGGATGATCTGGGCAACTATTTAAATATAGCTGCCCAGTCGACTTACGTGCCAGGACCCATTCAGTAGTCGATGCGACGCGTCAACCTTCGCAAACTTTCGAGTTTTCGAGGCGCCGAGGGGGAGGCATGAAGCGCCGCCTCCTTTCTCAAGCGCGCAGCAGGACCTCAGCAACTGCGGTTGGACTATGTGGGCCTGGGTGGGTCAAGAGGAGCAGACTCGAGACGGTGGCCCCGAAGGACAGAATCGGAGCATCCTGAAGGCATGTTTGTATGAAGGAAGCCCATGATCTTCATGCATGTCCTGGGGACTTGGGTGACCCCGGCCACGGAAAGAATTGTCGCATGTTGTCGCCCCGTCTCTGCCGTCAGGTAGTATCTCGAGTACAGCACATCACATAGACCCAATAGACCTAAATTCGGTCTATGGAAACCTGTGCAAAGCCCCTCTGGCAACCACAACGGAACCCTTTGCTTGGCAAAGCTCTGCGGCCTGAAGCAATACTTACTATCGCCGACATGTGCTCTGTCGGAGCCATGAAACGGTTGAATGCACCTAGCTGTGCCGTTGCTGTGCCTGTATCATCCCGAGCACGAAGCATCACAAAGCCGCTGCACAAGAGTTACGCAAGAAGACAAGCTGAGCTTAGCACCCTCCGTGCCTGCTGCAAGGCTTAGGCCCCACGTCCAAACAAAAGGCATCAAAACTTCGCGAACTCAACTTCTGACATGGCTTCGTGTTGCTGGCGTGCCCCAGCACATGAGGAACTGCATGTACTCTCACGAAACAATCCGGGGAACGGCTTTCTGAGGCATGCAGCTTACTCTGATAGCCTAGGCCCAGGCCCACATACAGAAATTCGCACCCATTGTTGGGCAGCCCTCCACGCAGCGACTGCGGGCCCCACTCCAAAGTGACAGTGCGGCGACCACAAGATTTTTCAGTGCAGCTCCATGTAGGGCAAGTGTCTTGCAAGACTCACTGAAACAACTCCCAGCCGAATCGGCGACTTACAAGGTTATCAGGGGGCCACACTCTATATAAACTGTTGGAGCATGTTGGGAGGAGTCATTGAAAGCGAATGATTTCCAGGACCTGGTCTGCTAAGCATACATTCACATCGCTGCCTGCTGCTGAAAGCAAACTGGCATGCCAGCGTGAAGATAAGATCACACATCCAAGGAGTCGGTGTGATGTGCCAACTCACCCAGAAGGTGCAGGCCAAACTCTAGCATATGTCCCGGATGCATCCCAGCTAGTGAAAAACAAGCTTGCAAGATGTTGAAAAATTCCAATTGTGCGGTTCAGGACATGTTGCAACTGGAAACCTACCCGACTTGTGGCGACCAGGCCTATGCAATCTAAGCATTCTGCTGCAAGTGTCTGCAAGGAACCCTGAGAAGTAGCTGGAAATAAAATCCGCTCATGCTCGGACACAGCAGCATAATCTCTGCCTTGCCCTGGGCATGTCGCAGGCACCTCGGGCACAGACAGCTCAGGACGCAAGTACTCAGCATTCAACAGCTTCAGTCTCAACGACGTCAAGAAATCCGTTTCACACGGATGTGCTGCCGAATCTGGGTCCTCCCACCATAAAGTCCAGATCATTGACGACCTCCGAAAGCGCGAGCCTCGTGCGTGCCTGTGCGCCAGAAGCATTTGCTATTGGTTCGCCTACGATTCCAATTGTCAGCAACAGCTAAGATGTCACAATCTGCCGGGCTCTAGCCCGAATCATGCTCTGTCCTGCAGCTTGACTGACCGAAACCGGCAAGACCGAGTGGACTGGAACCACGACAGACGATAGCTGGGCGGCTTGGCGGCCACTTCCTGGCTTGGTTAGTTTGATTTCGACTGAGAGGTTGACAACCCCAAGCGCCAAATGTTTGGGTTCTACACGGACCCAAGACTGAAGAACCAATAAGTACTGTAATGAACAAGTAATGCATTTCTTGAGGCTGCGGACCTTCGAGTATTAAGAGTAGTGGCTCGGTGTCTTACCCCTATAATAACCAAAAAGGCCGCGGAACATGCAACCTCAAAATTCTTGCAACAAGCGCATCCTGTTTTCTACGCTGTCGTCTGCATAATTTGCAGGAGTCGAGGTGACACAACATCTTCAGCCAAGCACAGCTTTCTGTATCCCGCTCGAGATGGCCAACCTGACCCAAGCTGGCCTGATAGGTTTGCTGATGTTTCCCGAAAGCTGTCCACAAACTGGTCTACCATCGGGCCCCCGTTGACACATGTACAGCCACAGAAAGCTCAGCACGGCAGAAAGCCGAACAGTGATCTACAGGCACCGCGCGTGCCAGCGACTGCGGGTCCAGGCAACGTGACATGCGGTTCGCATCTAGGAAATAATCAGAGGGCGTGGTATTCACACAGTGTCTCGATGTGGTTGTATGGACGCATTGGGCGATCATGTGATTCAACTTTGAGGAGGCTCGTAAAGCTTCCAGTGCTCCGTCAGCTTCTGCACCTCTCAGGAACAACTTCAGGTCTCACATCGGCTGATTGGGTCGAGAGAGGGTCAACGGCTGGCGTCATGTTGTGCAGTCTCGGTGAGATGTGTTGTTACAACGCTTGTTGCTTGCAGCACGGTGGCACCCCCGGTTGAGCTAGCAGCTAGCATCCTCCAGCCAGGGATAAGAATCGAGTGCAGCCTTGACTTTCTGTTAAGCCCAGCAAACGAAAGCGCCCAAGGCAACAATGGCCCGCATCCCCGGGTTTTCAGAAGACCCGACGAGGCGCGTCTTTGTGTTGTCCTTGACAGATAGCCATCCCGGCCTGCAATCGAAGGCGATGCAAGACTTGATCTTCGTGCGAAGAAGTTCTAGACTCGTGACTCGTGCAAACAACGAGACAAACACAACACACCCACACAGAAACAAACAAATACGCAAGCAAGCACACAAACAAACAAACAAACAAACAAACAAACACAGGAAACTACACCCGAAGAAAGAAAGAAACACATATTCGCACAAACAAACAAACGAACGAACGAGCAAAGAAAAACGATAGACGAACAGGCAGCAGGCACGCAGGCAGGCAGGCAAGCAGAAACGTGCGGACCTCAACTGCATGCGCATATGTGTATAGGCTGTATAGGTACATGCATGCACCTAGATACGGCCGAACACTTAAAAATACAATGATCGCAGACACAAAACAAATTGACGGAAATATGTAGGGTCAGAAACGTCTGCCTACACGTACGTGCCCGGGTGCAATACCGTACATATGCAGTTTAATCGGCAGAGATGCGCAACACAATTCCGGCATACAACCCAGCACACAACATGCTCCTCCCTGTTCCTCCTGTAAGCATGAACGAAATATGAGCATGAATGAATTCCGAATTCATGGGTAATTGCATGTGGACCGAAGTGCGTATGGTTGCACAAACAAGCACGTTCGTGCTTCTGCCCGTATTTAAGCATGTGTGTGCATGCCTCGGCCTGCACTTTCGTGTGCTTCCTGTAGGAAGGTCACCTATACCTGGCCTTCCTGACAAAGCTTTTATTTTCGGCTCCATGAGCTTGACAATGACAAATGGCTGTGCGGATGAATAGGCAGATGGCGGGAAGCCTATGTATTTCAGGAGGCGGAGGCTTGCTCTTCTGCGTAGAGACTGGGTCCGGCCTTGTCGTCTGTCAAGGCTCCCAACTTCCAGAGGCTGTAGTGACCACTCCAGAACACATGAGCGTCCTGAGATTTCTGAGCTTGTGCCAAGGCTTCTTGGGCAAGGCTGCCAATCGATTTAAATTAAATTGCTGCAGTATCGGTGCTCGTTCGATTCGTTCCTTTCGTTTCCTTCTCGGGGGGCCAGGCTGCTGGGAGTGATGACTTGATTGCAATGCGCCAGTCGAGGCTTGAAGGCTCGGCTCGATACCTGTAAGGCCCAAACCATCCCTCGAAAACTCCCACGCATCTGTGTGCTGGCATGACAGGAGCCTCAACTTTAGCTGCGGCTTTGACACCTGCACCTCAAGTACATCAAAGTCGCAGTCGAAACTAGGCTGACCTTCAAAATAATTTGGATTCTTGCGCAGCTGCCCGAGGTAAGAAAGGTTTGAAGTCCGAGGTCGTCTCTATCGGCAAAATCCGATTTTAAGCTTCGGTCCACGAGCAAACCTTTGTTAGTTCAGTGTCTTGTTTTCGCACTTGTCTAATTCCGCTGTGGCATCTGCCTGAGCTCCGAGTAAGCCCAAGGAGCGCTGCACACGGGCCTTCCCCCAATAAGTCTGACGCGCTGGTAACCTTGGAAAAGCTTCTCGAGACCGACCGAACTGGTGGAGACTCGGGAAATGGGGGGGGGGGCTCCAGGCTTCAAGGCATTGCGCTCGGGAATGTCGGGGTTTTTGGGACTCAAAGCTCTCGGAGCAGTCTTAATTGATATGGAGCTACAACGGGTAACTAGCACGAGGGCAGCAATGCCTACCACAGGACAGAACAGTCGCGACCACAACGACCGTAAGCCATTTCTCGACCATGCGGCAGCAAGCAAGCAACAGCAGCAGCAGCAGGAGCTGCAGAGGCGAAAACGAAAAGGGATATGGCAACTGTGACATTCAGGCTTGACTCTAACAATTTTTCACTGCATGGTGACTGCAAGGAAGTGCCCTGCCAAGTCGCAGGACCGATCGGCCACCTCAAAGGGCTTCCTGAAATACCTGGGTTTGCTGGCTTCTCTCCGAGCCCACGACCTTTCACTCAACGTACGTAGCTGCAGCTCGATTCTTGCAGCCACGACACCATCCCGCCATAGCATTAATCAGCTTCGATCCCGCAGCCTAGGCATGTGTTTCGAAGCCTTAGCTTTAGTTCTTAGACAGGCTTGTGTGTGGCTTCTCAAGGTAACTCTGAAGCCTGCTTCTCCTCAATTTTGTAGAAGAATCAACAAAAGAGGAGAACGGACAGAATGTGTTGCCGCAGGCCAGAAGAAGCTGTCGTTGATGGTGTGCGATTTCACACGGGATGGTGCAACAATTGGTGCTTGTTGCCTTGTTGCTTGCTGAAACTATAGAACCGATGGTGCCAAGGACGAATTCACCTGAGGGCAGCAACGACTAGCAGTTCGGCCCAACCGGACGTGCTACGACATGTCTAACATCGTGACTATCTCTCCGCCATCCTCTGCCCTTCTGTTTGGACAGTAGTATTCCTTCAATCAAGCTGGTGGGACAACAACTGTGCCAAATACGATGTATTCCTTCAGAACATATCATTCTTGATCGGCCTTCTTGAAGGTGCCCCGCATATAGAGGATCTGCGTGGTCTCGGGAAATCCCCTTGGTGGCATCTCCGTCGCCCGAAGCGCACTAGCTCACACAATGTCAAAACCGCTTTTTCCCTTAGATCGCCAGCAGTGTTGACAACGAAACCTGTTAAATTGTAGGAGTGCACCGCACCAGCAGCATCTGCGGCCATCCCATCAAATGACACTGAACTGACAGTGCCTATGAGAGAGACTGCTGCGGCCAAACATCCGCTGGATCAGCAGCTGCAGGAGCTTTTGAGCCTCCAGGAAGGTGGCCATGTTTGCCAGGATGTTCGTGGTTTTGGGAACCTTCAAAAACTACATCATGGATACTGAATAGGAGAATCTACGTGCCACTTTCCTTTCAGCACAAGACAAACACCCTCTTCACTCAAATAATGAACTGCTGACTGTGTGTTCAAGCCAACTCTCGGGAGGTCATGGGGGTGTTGTTATAGCAACAAGCATCATCAATTATCATCAGCCTCATCAGCATCACCGCCTTACAAACAGCGCCAAGAATCCAAGATGCGCAAGTCTGGACTAATCAGTGCTTACCGATGACAAGAACGACTCCCCCGATGCCAATGTAAAGCCGAACGAACACCTCCGTAACAATCGGTCGCCGCTTGACATACCCGTAAACCACTACAGCAGCACGCTTGGAGCTCCCAAAATCACCTGTCAAATGTCCCGGGCATTCTTGCCAACCGGGGAAGAAACATACGTCCAACCTTCATTCTGCAGTGCGAAAAATATACTCCTCAATTATAAGACTTAAGAACCGATCCCTCCCACATAGGCGGTGGCTTCTCGGCTGGGGACTTCCGCTGTGAACTTTCTACAAATTCTGGGCACTCCTTTCCATGTCTTTCTCTGCCCCCAAGATACTCTGTCCCAACACTTTAGCGATCGACCATCTGTAATCGTCACGGGACAACGGGCTTCAATTTTTTCTGGCACCTCATCGTCCCTGTGAGTAACACGGTGCACATCCGTTTTTTCATTGAGTTCTACGACGTTGAATTTGTTGCACAGTGTCAAAAGATTATCGCTTCAAAGTGGAGAAAACTGCATGCACGTTTTGCCTTGCCTTGGGACTATGGGATAACTTAGGTCTGCCCTCTCCGGGACTGGCTGACAGCTCGACAAGGTCCAATTAATGCACACGATGAGACTTTAGCCTTGTGCACAATACACGGGCCCCACTCTTCATCTTTTGCGCTGGTAGAACAGTCATCACTGCTTTCCACCCCAATTCTTACCACATCCGCAAAAGGGCAAGGAGCGTCAAGCTGCCATTGTCCAACTTTCTCCCATCGACACAACAACTGTTCCTGATGTCATTATGAAGTATGTGTAAGCATGTGTAAACGCTTCCCCAAACGTACTTCATGAATCGCGTGTTGAATCCTTGACAGGAGACATCGTCGGTACCAATGTGTCCCTCAAACACAAATTCCGTGCATAAGCTCGGAAACAGGGTAAACCGTTCTTGGCCTTGGTCGGTTTTCCACAGTGTAAGGCGACATCCCCCTTTTTGGCCCCCACACATGCTGCTGCCAATGTACGTAGGTGCTGTCTGGTTTTTACTACTACTATACTGCTACTACTCCTCCTACTCTTACTACTACCACTAGGTCCATCCCGCACCAAGGAAAAATCTGACCCCCGTGTCGCCCAAAACAACCGCGGCGAGGTGATTTCTGGTTCCCCATCCTAAAATCCCAAAGCTACTCTGGATGTTCCTCGCCCAGCGAGGGTCCACAAGTCCTTGGCCGCCTGGGCCGTCGTTTGCTCCGCTGCGGTACCAGTCCATTGGTAGAACGTGACAGTCCTTACAGATGTGACTTTCCCTTTCCGCACCTCAAATTCTCAATCTGATTACAAATTTCACACATCAACAGGCTCAATGCTCCAGAGAGTTCGCTTCAAATCCGAGACGCACTCCAAGCCACACCCGAGCACAAACTCATTTAACTGTGACAGCATGCACAGGCCGACCTGGCAGACCTGGTAAAGGACGTCTGGTATCTTGGAAAAGACAGACCAGCGATGCAGTTGCTCTTGCCGGTAGCCGGTTCCTCTGCTGCCTCAACTGGCTGGCTTGCAGCCCCAACAGTTCGACACTGGTGAGCATCCGGGCCTGCTCTGCAGCTGGGTCACGTCAAAAACTTCTCGATGGCTTCCTCGAAGACTTGCGCATTCAGCCAGGGGGCGTGTCGTCCATGTTCCCGGGCCCCTTCTCAACATCCACTCGCTCTTCGATTCTTGCAGCAAGCTGCTGCTTCCAAGTGAGACGAGTCTTGGCTGGCCAGATTGTTTCAAATTGTTTCTGTGTCGCTGGCAAGCGGGGGGCCCTGGCTGCTTTCGGGCCACGCTCGCGAATTCGGACCCTCTGCCGTTGTTAGTCGTTGTTGTGACTGCTAAGCTGACAGAATGCAGCAGGACGTGCAGACTACCCTCATTGTATGAATTGCGCGCCCTCTTGTGGGGGGCTTCCGCGCTTGTATACTGGTGGGCTTACTGAGCAGCTGCATTGGTGGTCCATGAGTGCTCGGACACCTGGCCTTGATTGTGGGCTGCGTCTGTTACTTGCTCGGACCCTTGTGACTCCTTGCCCCTCTGCTGCCGAGGACTTGTTCCTGTGAGCTGCGGAGAGCATTTTGCAGGGCTTCGTGTGTGAGTCCGTGGATCAGCACGTTGGTAGTGATGCTTGGCTGCTCGGCTCCTTGCCTCGCTGCAACATATCTCTTGCTGTTCACGGGGATCTTTGCTTCTTGTGGCGCGAGCTCCCCGTCTGGTCCCCCTTATTCTGTTGGCTTGCAGAGCAGCTGCCAAGGCTGTTCTCCTCCCATGCAGCTGGGATCTTTCCTTATTGTGCGGGCTCTCCCTCAAGCTGTCAAGTTGGATTCCTCGGTCCGTTGCAGTGTTATCGGTGAAGTTCTGCGAACACGTCTCTGTTTTTCCCTGCGTTGCTGCTGACGGCGCGCTTTCCTTATTGTGGCGAGCCTCCTACACAAGCTGGAAAATTTCGGGGTAGCTGCTTTGCTTCGTGGGCGCAGTTGGCTGACGCTGTCCCCCAGCCCCCAGCCCCTTGCTCGTACGGGACATCTCCCCCACTGCTGCTGATGACTGTTGATGCTGTCATGGGCCGAACAGCCTTTTGCTGCTGACGGGATCTTTCCCAGCTCGACCCAGTGATGCTCCGAGCGTTTCTCTTGCTGCCGCTGTGAAACGCTGCGAAACGGTCTCAACCTTTCCCCCTTGCTGCTCCCCATGGGTTCGTCTCTGAGTTGTTGGTGAGGCTTGTTGATGCTGGAAACTGTGTGAACTGCTGCCGGGCACTGCCAGCGTGTGGCTTTGCCTGCGAGCGCTTTTGCGTGGGGCGTTGGTGGTTAGGACCCCTGGCCTCACCCTTGCATGATGCTGCGCTGGCCAACATGTCGCTGCGTTCCGTCTGCTGGGTTGGACCCGGCTTTGTCTGTGCGATCTAGCTGAAGTTTCCGGGCAGCAGACTGGTGCGAACATGTCTCGTGTTGCTGAGGGATCTGTCCATGCTGTGGGGCTGCGTTGGGTGGTGGCTTGGTGGCTGCTCGGACCCTTGGCCCTTGCTGACGCTGTCCTGCTGAAGCGCTAGTGTCTGCTTTTCCCCCGTGCTCCTGCAGCTTCGTCAGTGAATTTCTCGTGACATGGAGGCTATATTTGGGGCAGTTGCGTTGGTCGTGGGCGGTTGGCTGACGCTGTCCTGCGCTGCTGACAGGGTGGTGGCGGTTGACGGCTGCAGGTACCTCATGGTGTTGGCGGTTGCCGTTGCTACTGCTGATACTGCTCGAACATGCTGGTGGATCTTCCCTTCTTACGGAAAACTCGCCTCCTGCCGGGTTGCAATGCCTTTATGGGGCTTCGTTTGGCTCTCCGCTGCTGATGTCATCAGGTCCTGCGAACATGTCTCTGCCTCTTCCCCCCGTGCTCGGTTCCTGCTGAAAAGCTTTTTCGCTGGCTCCAGACTGGCGGGAGGCAGGCCGGGCTCCTTGCCTGTCGTGAGGTGCTGCGAACATGTCTGGCGCTGCGATCGTGGGAAACTCCCTTCTTCTGCCGAGCTGCTTTGGCTTTCCTCCCATGCAGCTGACGGGGATCTTTCCTTGTTGTAAGGCACTCTGCCTTGCCGGCTGGCGAGTGGCAGGCTTTCCGGGAGCTGCCCATGCTGATGGTTGGTTCTCCTTTTTAACGAGTTGTTGGTGAAGTTCTTCGAGCATGTCTCGGCACATAGCTTTGGAGCATCCCAAAAGGGGTGGGGGGCTAAGGGGTGCTCACCCGATGCGCCGCAATGCTGTTAGGCTTTGTCCCCAGCAGAAGCTCGCTCGAAGAATGACTTGAAGCCTGGTGAAAAAATATCTTGAGTTATACAAACGAAGCCTTTGAAATAAAACCCTGACAGCTCACACCCCTTTTTGCACCTCGCCAAGCACGTGCTGGGATCCTGTTGCCCACTCGCTGACTACTCCAGTAGATAAGGGCAAGATTGCCCTGTACGTTTGGCATGTTCTTGCCACACCCACCTCAAGCAGATCAGGAGGGATGAAGAACGAGCATCACCCGGCCGGAAAACCCGAAATTGTGAATGCGGTGGATGCAAGGTGGGGTACTGGACTTCCCACTATGACCTTAGCTGTTTGAATATCAACGATCCGGAAAGGATGTGCGGCTTGTTCCCAAGTTTTCTCCCGTCAACTTCTTGGGCTCACAAGAAGTTGACAAGCCGGCCGACCGAGCAAAAATGAAAGAACGACCTTCCCAGTCACTGGTTGGTGTGAATGCGCAGCGAGCATGACGGCGCAGCAGGCACGTAAGCTCGTGCCGCCTTCCAAACCTCAATCTTTTGAGGGATAGCAACAGGTGTGGCCGTCCGGGACTTGGCCGATGCAGATCTTCAGGATGAAGTCCAAGAAACCGCACTGCGAAGTTAATTGAGGCTGCTTGGTTAGCATTATGAGTCAGCGGATAACCGCAGTGTCCGCAACGCTTGCCTTATTGTCTCCTGTTGGATCGAGCTAAAACCTTCGAAGGATCTGGTGTCCGAGTCCATTTTCAGCAGCATGGCTGCGTGCGTCTACAATTGTGACCTTTTGATTGAAGTGTTCAATCAACCCCTGTTCAGTTTCGCTGTTCTTGCCCATAGCCTGCGGATCCTTACTAAGTTGGTACGACGTGGTCCGTGACCGACAAAACCAGATCAAAGGCGCTCTCCTCAGCGCTAC